TAAGTGTCATGTATTGGTCAGCGGTTTTGTTACGCATGCTTAATAAAGGGGCGGACCCTGTTCTTGTATGGCCGCCATGTTGAAATGTAGTTGTTTGTCGCGTGTGTTTGCATCGGGCCTAATCAGACCTATTAGAAGCCATCCGAAGGTTTCCCGATATTTAACAGTAAGAAAAAAAAAAAACACAACAACGGACTAGCGAATAGGAAAGTACCTTCACATCGTTGTTTTCTTTAATTTGTTGTTGTTCCTCAGTTGGAACGTCGGTAGCGATCCTTCCAGCCTCGGTCGGACTCTACGGCTTTCATAGGCAGATGACGACTGTTCGTTCGAATCCTGAAGAAAGGGAATAAACAAATTATTCCGTACACTTTTTCGCAACTCAATAACAAAAGAAGTGAATGTATTCAACTTTATATACATGCATACCCTGTTTCTGCAAGCTTTACTGCTTGTTCCACATTTACATTCATCTGTACACAACACGTTTCTCCCTTTGCACGGCCACCCACGAGAACTATTTTCTTTGCGCTTCGTTGTACCAGCACTTTTGCATTTACAAAAGGTCACAGAAACGAAATTCACTTTCCTGAGTATTTGCTTTGCATAAAGTTGATTTAAATGCAAAATATATTTTGAATTGTTCTACTCGCCGATATTTCCATAATGGCGGTCGAGCGTGACAAGTCTCGGAGTGAGTGAATGCTACTGCGCATGTCAACCCGTGACAGTGTCCCTTTGATTCCAAATTGAACTCGAAACCGTGTGATTATCATTAATTGCTCGAGCTTTCTTACAGTTTATTATATGACTGAGAAAATTACGAACTTGCGCGCGTTGACGTCCACTGCAGTACATGCAAATTAACAATTAACGATAAATTGGCCCATTCTCAGCCAATCACAATGAAGTAATTTTCTCAGTCATATAATAGAGTGAGTTATTCGTAGTTCATCTAGACCACTGGTTATGTTGCTGTTTGCATAGATATGTACCGCTTGAGACCGAGTTTATGATTATATAATATAAGTGAGTTATTCTTAGTTCATCTAGACCACTGGTTATATTGCTGTTTGCATAGATATGTACCGCTTAAGACCGAGTGTTATGTGTTCTATGATGTAAAATAAAAACACTCTTTGTTATCAACAGATCGCGAAAGAATTCCAGAAAAGAAGCGACGTGAAAGTGACATAAAGAAGATGGATGAACATAAGTTGAAGGAAATTGTACTTCGGTGTATTGAAGATTTCAGTAAGGACAGACCAAGTGCTGAAGAGGTCTCCAGGTGCCTTCAACATGAATGGTCCAAGATTCAACAGAAACGAAATATTGCTCATAATATTCAAGTTGCTCAAGTTCCCAAACTTGATATTGCTGTCCTTGGTCAGTCCTACGCGGGAAAGTCATGCCTTATTTCACGCTATTTTCACGGTAAGTTTGATGATAAAATTATACCTACGTCTGCTTTAAAATTGCGTACCATGAGGATTGACCTCCACGACAAAGAGTATCGCTTGCAAATTACAGACACTGCAGGAGATGAAAAGTATCACAGCGTTATTCTAATGCCACTAAAGCACTGTCAAGGCGTTGTGCTGGTCTTTGACTTAACAGATCGGCCTTCCTTCGTTGAAGGTATTCCTGAAATGATAAAGCTGGTTAAGCAGAATGCACCAGATAACACGAGCTTGATTTTAGTAGGGAATAAAGCAGACTTAGCTGATGCCCAGAAAAGTAGACGAAAAATTGTAAAGAAAGACGCAGAATTTTTTGCAAAGGAACTTGGAATTCGTTACATCGAAACGAGCGCTTTGTCTGGGCAAAATGTCGACAGAGCCTTTGAACTGATTGCAAACGAGATCTATGACACCTTGGACTTGTCTGATATCGACACTTACACTACCAGTACAGACAACATACAGCTCACCAATGAAGGTGTTCCAGGCGATAGAACCTTTCTGCAGAAGGTGGTTGACTGTTTTACTTTTAGGTGGTTGCGGGAGCGGTGGAGATCGTAAAGTGGCGAATGGCCACGGCAACGGAAACGGAAATTGTAACACGGCAAAAGCAGCAACATTGGTACCAAGTAAAAATTCCTTACCGCCTCTGATTGAATATATTGGACTCTTGTCAGCATAAGACTTTCCGCTGTGGTTGGGAGAATTTAATACAAGACTATAGGCGTTGTTCGTTTTGTGATGAGTGACGTTATTCTCATCACCTGTTTGCCTGACTTGCATTGACTTTTTGAGGAGACATAAGTTGCTGATCACTCAAGGCTGAAAGGTTTGGCATCTTTACAGAAAACTTGAACATAACACACTTTACTAAGTTATTCTCGGTATTGCTGGCTTTTGATAGACCTTGTTAAAGTTCTTGTGGGATGTTTTTTTTTAAATTGATACAGGTTTTGTTTTCCCTTCAAACCCGGGATTGATTTCGTTTGCAAGAGGTCAGTCTCGAAGACATGAATTTTTATGGCTCAGATTGTACATTAAAGTTGTGGCTTTTTGAAAAAGTAGGGTGATGTTTTAATCTGTAATTAGAACTTTTAATCAATTGTAGTAGATTAGACTCTATGACTGTAAATAGTACAAAATACAGAGTTAATGTAATAGACTGATAAAGTAATGCCTTAAAAATAGATCTCATTTTAGGAAGAATTCTATTGTACACCATGTTATGTTCCGCTTCCAGTGCAAATTTTATTTTGCTATGTACAGCCAGTGAGGCCGCCTTTTTGTCTCGGTAATGAACGTTACGTCAAGTAGTAGACATAAAGGGTTGCCATATTTTACCTTTGTAAATATTGTCTTCTCTTTGATGTGGGAACTATAACCTTGCTCCAACCGTACAGGAAGTGGTTACTGTACTGCTGACATAAAAGTTCAGAATCTCATTGTTCATGGGAAATCTAACGCAACTTGATGTGTTGTCGAGTGTTTAGTTAACATACATTCTTGGAGTCTTTGTAGTCTCCTTCGCAGCCGTTTTTAGTGTCGTGACCGTGTCGTCACGCAACGCTCCTCCCCACAAACGGCTGCTCACATACGAACAACATTCCCTTATACCATTTAAACCAATCACCATTCGGGTTACATCTTGAGAACTGTTGCGCGCCAAAGTAATCTGACCAATCATATTGCGTGTTTTATGTTGAAGTATGGCGACCCTTGAAGAGACAAGAAACAGGAATTAGGAAAATATTCGAGGAATGAAATGATGTATTTATCAATCTTCCGACTGGCTTCGGAAAATCTCTACTGTGACAAACACTACCACTACTCACATTGTCAATGTTGTGTCACCATTGATAAGCCTTATGGAGGAATCAGGTGTCTCATCTGAAGGAGTTAGGGTTGAAAGCAGCCAACATAAGCTCACTTGAGGATCATGAACACACTCGCTTTAGAAAATGGCGAATATTCGGTAGTTTACGGATCACCTCAAGAATGGCTGAAGAATGAACGCGCGTGTATTCTAAAAAAACCTGTGTGCCATGGCAGTTGACGAAGCGCATGTCGTAAGGCAGTGGTAAGTCTTCATATAAATAGGCGTATAAAACAACGGAAAATGTGCCTGCCAACGTCATAGCAGCACATCTCTACGGATGCGAGACTTGGGAAAAGGACCAAGAGGGATGAGGTGAAACTGGACACATGCTCCA